AATTTTTAGATAGACTCACTGCACAAAACCAAGCTTCCGCTTAATGGCAGTGGTTGCGTATTTGCAGATCATTTCTCACAACTCCAGCATTTCAATATAACTTGGCTTTGTGAAACACATCTAGCCAAGATTGAAGAACCTCCTTCTAAAAGTGTTCAAACCTTACAATGAGGGCAAGTAACTTATTAGATGACGGGTTTACAGGATTCCTAAAGGTATGATACTACAATGATGACAATTCTAACACGAATACCTTGATAGCTTTTGAAGCATGGAATATACAAATAGTTTAAGGTCATACAAGTCTATAAGCAAGAAGACATGACACTCTCAAACATAGTTCAAAGGTTTGAGGGTAGTAAAGTGTTTAGCTTGAAATCCAAAATAGCAAATTAAATATACTTGATAGATATTCCAAATCAGACAGCCGGTCGGGGTATAAAGCAAGGCTGTCATATTCAAGCACGACCTAATACTTAGTAGATGGGAAACACCCATGATCTCCGATCGTCATGTAAAGCGCCTGGAAAATACAATCAGTCATCTTCAACTAACCGACCACCCATGGGACAGGAGCCTACTCAGGTGGAAATCGGCCGGCTTGAGTAAAGTGACCAGGCCCGGTAGTCGGTGTGTCCCATACTGAGATCATATATGAGACGCGGATGGGCGACCAGCCTCGGTAGTAGGCGTGTCCTCGATTGAATGCCCTGCAGGATTCAGATGGGCAACCAGGTTTTGTGGGCGGTGAGTCCCCGACCGGGTACCACTCAGGAACTCAATCGGGTGACCATGCTTCGCAGTCAGGGTGTCCTTGCCCAAATACTGTGGCCCCTTATAACGTCTCATTGGCATCCAGGGCGTCCCCGGCTGGGTACGCGTCCAGAGGCGGTTACGGGCAGGTTTTGTCGAGATCTCCTTATTTATTTAAGTAGCTTCCTTTATTAGCTTAGACAGTTATGGTATGAAGTAGACTAGATTCCATATCCGAATTGGCTCTATGTCAGCCCTACTTCCCTTATAGAATTGGCTCTAAGTCAACCCTACTTTCCTTGTAGGAACCTTGTACTTTAGTATAAGTATCCCCTTGGGATCACCGTGTAAAGGGATCACTCTTTTTCTCTCTCAATATACCTATTGAATTTCTGGCACTCAAGCGGCCGAGGCAATAGAGAAATAATACTACATTATTTTCTCCATTACTTGAATTTTCATTCGCATAAGCCTTTGGTTTAAGTATTTTACGGTAGTGTTGGCCCGTCGAGCGGCATCCAAAAAGCCGTAAAATCAACATTGGCGACGTCTGTGGGGACCGAAACAAGAGGTCCCGTCTCTAAGCTTTGCTAATGGCTCGTACGCGACGCAGCAACCGGAACAACGAACAGAACGCCGTGGCCCCGACTTCTACACTCCGGTAGAACTACTACTTTCTTCCAAGACTTCACAGCTCCGTGTGACAATCTTCTTCCTACACTCCCGTAGGGGATATCACTTGTTTGTAGAAAAATAAGTTTTCTCTTGCTTCCAACTTTGAGACTTCTTGATGGATCTTCAATATGCAGCAAGTCTCTCAATGATGAAGATTTTAAAACACTCTTTAATATTTTCTCTTTGAGCTTTGAATCTCTGAGTGTTTATCTCACTTGAATATTTTTCTCTGTAAGCTTTCTCTAGCATATTGGATTCGTATGTTCTTGCTGGTGTTGGAAGTGTTTTTTCTCTGCTTCAATCTTCATCCTTTTATAGCTAGTTTTGAGAATTTGTCCGTTGGAAAAAGACAATCTCAAATTTGAATTCTTGTAGCCTTTTCAGAGGATCTGTAGCTTTTTCAGAAGATCTTATCTCAGAATTAATGTCTCTGACATTTGAGATATTTCAGTCGTTGCTTTTAGCTCTTGGTCCATGTGGGTAGTAAAATAATTCTAATGTAGATCATGTCTTCCAGCTGGTAGTCCACGTGAAGATGCTCTTAAAATAATTCTGATGTAGATCATGCCTTTTGGAACTTTTATCTTCTGAATATATGCTCCAATCTAATCCCTTTCTATTTTGGACTAGTCAGTTTCCTCTTATATCTTGAGCTCATACTTCTTCTCATAGTGTATGACTACTAACTTTGAAACTTCATCTCTAATTGATTTTTCAACTAGTTCTCATACTGATAGTGAGAGCTCAATCCTTGATTGAAACTTCATCTCATACTTCAGCTCTTATTATATATATCTTTGAAACTTCATCTTGAACTTCATCTCCTACTATATATAGTCTCTTTGAAACTTCATCTTGAACTTCACCTCTTACTATATATAGTCTTTGAAACTTTATCTGTAACTTCATCTCTTACTATATATAGACTTTTCAAACTTCATCTTGAACTTCATCTCTTACTATATATAGACTTTTCAAACTTCATCTTGAACTTCATCTCATTTGACATTGACTTGTGAACTTCACCTTGTACTTTATCTCATACTGCATCTCATTTGACTTGTGAACTTCACATTGTACTTCATCTGTAACTTCATCTCATACTGCATCTCTGTAACTTCATCACATAGTATACTTCATCTTATGGCAAACTTGTCCTCATACTTCATCTCATGTTTCACGGCCAATTTAGTTTTCTCATACTATATTTCATCTTATGGCAAACTTCACATATTCCTTTAATTGACTTATGACAAACTTCACCTCATACTTCATCTCATGTTTCACGGCCAATTTAGTTTTCTCATACTATACTTCATCTTATGGCAAACTTCACCCCGACCAATTTAATTTTCTCATATTAATGTTTTTATTACTTCATTCATCTTATGACAAACTTTACCTCATACTTCATAACTTCATCTCATGTTTTTATTCCTTTAGGGGTCGTTTGGTTCATGGAATGTTATATTACCTTAGGGAATGTTAGATTGCTGGGAATGTTAGATTCATGTGTTTGATTAAAATTGGGATATGTAATATAATCATGTTTGGTTTAGGGTTATCTTTTATACACACTATAATATCCTTAACATATTTTCATATATTTTAATAAATTTAAAAATTTAAATAAATAAGATAAGATAACGGTATCATATATAATTACATGATTTTAAAATATTAACTAAAATCTTGAACTTGAGAAACAAAATTATTTTATATGCTAACATAACATAATACAAATAAAAAATATATAATTATGAAAATAATTATATATATATATATATATATATATATATATATATATATATATATATATATATATATAATAAGGCTCATATGCGGCAGTGGCTTTAGGTGTGGCGGTGCGGCCATGTCAGCATCGTCCATTCTGATTAATCTAACGGCAGCGACTAATTTATGAAGATTTAAAGATTTAAGCGCGTCCTGGTAAGTGGGGGGTGTTATGGTAATTGTAGTGGTCATTTATATCGGTCGCTTGTCAGTATACACCAACAGTGTTAACAAAAGACACCAATAGTGTTAGGAAAAAGCACCACAATGAAATGCATAAATACACCAAAAAACACACAACACACCCAAAAAATACACCATATAACTCACCACCCCAACGGCGTATTTCTGAACACTGTGTGATGCTTTTATTCATACATAGTGGTGCGTTCTGGTGATGCGTATCTAATTTGTGCATGTTTTTTTGGTGTGCATTTTCTAACATGGATGGTGTATATTTGTATAACTATTAGTGCGGTCGCACTGACCGCTCGGGAAGGCACAACACGAATTCTCAAATACACCACAGTAAGGTTAATAATGCACCAATAACGAACATAAAACACACAACACTATGATTTGATCTATTCTGGTGCCCAATGACGACTTTAACCTTGCAGTTCGCGTAGTGTGAGAACGCACGCGGAAATATCAGAAAAGCCTTAATGAATGTGATTCGTTGGATTTATCTAATCTAATGGCCTAAAATTAACCGCACCGCCGCACTACCGCACTTGACCCTTCATATATATATATATATATATATATATATATATATATATATATATATATATATAAACTAACATAACCAAGGTTTCATGAGACCTTGAAGTTAATTTATCAAGCTTCTAACCATCTCATCTGTACCAATTATTGGTTATTATAACATTCTCCTTGATGTACTTCTTTCTTTCCACATATGCCTGATCTCCAAGATAACTTCATACAATCTCGTTTGCTTCTTTTTCTTCGTATGAGATTTTCCAGTATGATTTTTTCTTTGAGTTGGGCGTGCGGGCTTTGTTTAAGTATACATATCATATGCATACATCTCATTCTTCCTATTTTTTCCTTTTCTCTATATATGTTAATTTTCCTTTCATGGTTATGATATACCTAGACTTAACAAATAAAATTGGAGATTCTAAAGTACAATTTGGCATATCAAAATCTATTACAATATATTTCCTAATAATTTAAACATTTAATCAACGTCGAATACAGTGACTAATTCAATCGCTGAATTATAAGCATCTCTACTTTAAACATTATAAATATAAATAGTAAATACTTAATGGAAAATAAATTTCAAAATTTGATATTAATTAACAATCAATTTAAATTAGCGATGCTTATAATTCAACGAGTGAAAAATAAATAAATCACCAAATGCATTTTAAGTAATTAGTTTTGTAATATTGTTAAATAGAAGAAGAATTTGTTTTAAAAAAAAGATGAAAAAGTAAAATACACTTTTATTGATGGTGAGATGGAAAAAGACAATATTACACATGTTAAAAAGTTGAAAAAGTTTTTTCGGCTAAAATTGAACGAAGAATGCACCGGAAGGATAAAATTTACAAAAAAAAGTAATAGTTATAGATCAATTCTGTAAATTTTAAAAATTTTAAATCAAAATTGTTAGTGATATTATAGTCGTTGGACCAAAAGTGCAAATAACTCATACTCGGTATTGGGCAAGGGATAATTAACAGTTTTTAAAGAAAATATTGTAAAAATACGGAAGAGGGAAAGGCGAAAAGTAATTGAAGATTTACAGTTATTAAATAAGGGTTTTGAGAATGGCGCTCTTGCTCACTCTTGGCGGTTTCTCTGGGCGGACAACAGCGAAATTGCGAACTCCTCTCTACTAGAGACTAGAGAAAGAAAATGTCTAAAAGGTTCGGAAAGCGGAAGGAAGACGACGGCTTTGCCTCTGAAGGCAACGACCGTCCCAAGAAGACTTCAAAGACCGACGATTCCGATGAATCCGACGATATCGTCGTCTGTGAGGTATGCTGTGTGCCTGAAATCTATACACTCCAGTACCTCTACTTTTTAGTCATTTATTTTTGGTTGGGATTTTATAGATTTCGAAGAACCGTAGAGTGGCTGTGAGGAACTGGCAGGGGAAGGTCGTGGTTGATATCCGCGAGTTCTATGTGAAAGATGGAAAGGAAATGCCTGGCAAAAAAGGTTTTTGTTTTTTTATTTTTTTTATTTTTATTTTTTTTTTATTTTTTATTCTAACATTCTTATTAGTTATTCTGATTGTATGAATGTATTTCTTGGTATACATAATTATATAAATATGTTTCTTGGTGCATATAAGTATATATTTATATGAATATATTGTGTGCAAAATTAGGGGCACTTTCACTAAGTGGGCACTTTCACTATTGTGTGCAAAATTAGTGCAAAATTGTGTGCAAAATTATCAGCACCCTCAATCTCAATCAGCTAGAGGCTAGAGCACCTTTGAGGTAACCAATTGTACCAGTGTGGATCAGTTATGCTTATTTCATGTCAAGCTAAAGTGGCAGAAATGTAGTGTTTCTGCTAGTTATGTAGCAGATTGGTGTCTGCCATTCTGTCAACCATTATAGTGGAGTTAAAAGATTGTGAGAATGATTGTTTGAATTTTAAGAAGATATGATATGATATTAGGAGTTGTGAGATTGTATCATCACTATCATGTTTCTTGTGATGCGTCATTTGCAAAATGCTGTTCTTAGCTTCTGCCTTATTGGGAAATGTGTATGAATTTTTCACATGCTAAGTTCCATGAATTTATGTGTGGAAGGCAATGCCTTGGCTACTTTTTTATTTTTCAACTTGAAAGGAGAATGATTTCTTTCACATTTTATGTTTTATCCCCTTAAACTTTTTAATCCATGATTCTCTAAAAAGTGTTTAGCAGAATTTTATAGTATTTTGTATGAGTAGATAGAGGATTTTAAGTAAAGGGTTGGGAAGATGTATTTATAGGGGTACAGTGCATGATTCATAGTTTATATGCTAGACCCTGGAGGATAGTTTCATATAAATTATTTTGACTGTGTATTCTGCTAAGTGGTGAAGAAGAAGGTAGTTCAGGTTGAAGAGGTCAAATATGTAGGTGTTTTAGTCAGCTTGGTAAGCCTGTAGGAAAGGGATGAAAAAAATTATTTAATGGTATGATGAATTGAATAATGTGGGGAACATATTTTTTTAATGCTGATTGAAGTAGTGAAGTTATTTTGGTGATGTGTTTTTATGTGAAATATTGTTACTTTGTTGAGTAAAAACATCTTTACATTTCGGTTGCATTTACGATTCTGTTTGTTTGGCTTGATGACTGACTGCACTAACTATGTAAGTTGTACACGTTATTCCTAATGATTTACAAAATTCCTTTTTTCTTATCCAGGCATTTCATTAACGATGGATCAGGTATGCTCAGTTGCTTATCTTCTTTTTTAGTGTTTATAAGTTATGTTAAGTTTAAAGTAGTCAGCTTTGGTTGATGTCCTGGTTTTTTGCAGTGGAAGATACTTCGTGAGCATGTGGAAGAAATTGACAAGGCGGTTGCAGCAGGGGAATAGTTAAAATCTGAATGTGTTTTTGGCTTTTTGCTCCGAAAGCAATTTAAGTGCTTGCAATAGAAGAAGGTTAGGGAATTAGATCTGGAATGAATGATGTAAGCTGTTGCATTTTGACTGTAGTATTAGGGAAAGCGACCCTGTTAAATCTAGTATTCTATTATGCTTAGCAGTGTAACTACGGAGTATATATTCTAGTAGTGGCTTGCTGTGAGCTATTTCTTCCTTCTGCCCCTGCCATTCCATTGTGCATTTGTGTTTGTTCCATTGTGCATTTTTGTTTGTAGTTAATATTTCCCCGCTTGAAATTTCATTCTACAAATTAAAATCGAACCACAATTACATGCACACACACACAAGTTCTAAATTAATATGAAAAATGTTATATTCACTAAATATCCCTGCTCCAACAGGTTCAAGGACCAAATTTGTGGAATGGAGACGGGGAGTTTTATATACATACATTAATGTAATGAAATTATGAAGATTAAAGACTTAATAAAAAAACGATTTTTTTTTAAAAAATAAAATAATACTTAATATTAAACTAATATTTGAATATTTGTATTTCGTAATTTAAATTTAAAATTTAAAATTTTATTTTTTACTTAATTATTAAAAATTGTCCCATAAGCTTCACTCGGGGTGGGGATTTTCTATTCTTGAAAATTTTCGGCAGGTACATGAATGAGGATGAGACGAGGAGTGGGGTGGGATCACGGGATCGAGACTATACTCTTGCCCTTGCCTCGTGGCAACCCGTAGGCGGATATATATATATATATATATATATATATATATATATATATATATATATATATATATAGGCGAGTTCAGGTGCGGCAGTGTCTTACGGTGCGGCAACACCAATAGTTCAACAAATATGCACCATCAACGTTAGGAAAATACACCACAAAAAACAGAGTAAACAGAGCCCTGCATCACCAAACACACACCATTAGGTGTGAGTAAAAACACCCTACACTGTTCAGAAATACACCATTGGGGGTGATGAGTTATATGATGCATTTTTTTGAGTCTGTTGTGTATTCTGTGATGTTTTATTGCATTTCATTATGGTGTATTTTTCTAACACTGTTGGTGCATATTGTTAACACTGTTGGTGTATTCTGGAATTCCGCCGCATTTGAACTTTATTCTCTCTCTCTCTCTCTCTCTCTCTCTCTCTATATATATATATATATATATATATATATATATATATATATATATATATATATATATATATATATATATATATATATATATATATATATATATATATAGGGTCGTGTTCAAATGAGAACGGATAGTCCAGAAAGAATTAAGAACAACTCACAACCGTCCACGTGTCTAAATCTTATAGATCAGAAACAGTGATTTAAAAAAAAAGTGGTGACATTTTCATAAATAATTGACATCGAAGTACAAGTAAAATGTATTACAATTGCAAGTAGCAGTTTCATATAGTGCACCTAAGTGTATGTAAAATGTATTACAGGTGTAAGTAAAATTTACACTAGCACCAATACTAAGTGCACCCAACGTTATAACTAGGTGCACCTAACGTTATAATTAGTTGCACCTAGGCGTACGAATGTTAACAAGGTAAATTACTTGCACTTCTAAGTGAAAATAAGTACAATTGTAAGTGATTTTACATGCACTTTTTACTTACAAAGGTGCACCAGCAACTTGCACTTATAACACATTTACTTGCACAAAACTTCGAGTTATTCACGAAAATATCACCGCGTTGTTTTTTTTTTTTTTTTTTTAAAAATTACATCTGATTCGTTGATCTGGACACGTGGACAGTTGTAAATGATTCTTATTTCTCTCCTAGTCACTTGTTCTTATTAGAGCGCGCCCATACATACATACATACATACATACATACATACATACATACATACATACATACATACATACATACATACATACATATATATATATATATATATATATACTAATAAGAACCAAAGAGAGTTAGGCGTAGAAAAAATGATGGGTCAAATTTTTTAATCAAATGAATGGCTCAAATTCATCACATTTTAATTTTTCCTTTAGATTTTCTAATTTATCCTTAATTATATGATTATCCGTTAACTTTCCCGTTAAATATTATATTTTCCGTTAATTTATGTTAGTTTACCGTTAACTTACTCATTTATTTTAATAAGAAATGTCTTAGGTTTGAACCTCATCCCAATCAAAGTTTATATAATTAGTACTATATTTTACTCTTATCTATATCTATATATATAAAAAAGTAAAATCCTCCTATGTAATTTTCCCGCCCAAACTTTTATAGTCAAATTAATGAAATATTTTACTGGTCAAATTAATAAAACTTATTTGGTGAGCAAATGTAAAATGAAAATGTTATAAAAGCTATTAATTAGTAATATTATGTAATACCAATATACCATTGTGAAATTCAGTAAAGATAAATTGAAAAAAGGAAACTGATATTATTAATTGATTGAAAATATAAAAGGATTCTAATGAAAAAGAAAACAAAAATTAGGCAAATTGAAAAAGAAAATGGATATTATTAATTGACTGAAAAGTATAAAACCTAATTGACTGAAAATATAAAAAGAAATTAATTCTCACATTCTCTATCTCTACCTATAAATACAATAAATTTGTGACTAGAAAAATTATAACTCTTCCTTTTTGTATTGTACAAACCCCCGCTGACTCCCACTATAAATGAGCTAGGGGTTAGGCAAATACTTTAGTCCTACATTGCGTCTGTATGCGTAGGGTTTAAATTCGAATACCGCTTTTTGAACAGTCATTGAAGAATGTCTTTCTGGGGTGAGTTCTGTATTGCGTCTTTCATTTTCCAGTGGCATAATTCTTAATTTATGTTCTTAGTTCTTTTCTGCATCTTTTGCAAATATTGCAGGATACAAATATAGAGACAATTGAAATGGTTTTGCGCGACTATTTACATGCATTAAGGAGAGTTGAAGACTTCAAACACCACATGTGCCCACATTGCAGAAGGTATGTACAATAACTGGATAAACTAGAATGATGTTAAGCATTGACAATTACAACGAATTTATAAATTTACATGTAATATGCATTATTATTATATAATAGTTGACACTACATTTATTTTTTAAATTATTTCTCTTTTATTTTTTCTATATATATATATATATATATATATATATATATATTATTAATTGGAGATATTTATGGAGATTTTTTTTTTTCATATGAATGTAATACAATAATCTTATGTAAGGGAATGAAGAGATTTTTTTTTTTTTTTTTTTTTTTTTTAACTAGAAGTTTCAGTTTCTATGTTTTTCCGTATACAAATTTATAATTGTAAATTTATATTAATAAATAATTATTAATACAAGTATAATTTATTTTATATTGTGAACACATTATTTGTAATAATTTTGATTTAATAATATTATACCTTAATTATAAAAATTATACCTAATAATCTTAGTACTAAATGTCATACAATAATTACCATAAACAATGTTTAATAATTGACAAATTCTATTAAGCAATAAAAAATACTATTATAAAATCTTTTGTAATATGGAGACATTATCTTTAATTATTTCGATTTAATAGTATTATATCTTATATATAAAAATTCGAAGTAATACATTTAGTACTATTGAATATTGATTGACTAAAAATTATCTTAATTATTAAGACAATTAATAGGTATTTAGCTTTAAAAAATTTTCAAATATTGAATTATACATAGTAGTATGGAATCAATTAGTAGGACAATTATATTAGGTAATCTAATTAATAATTTAATTTTTTAAATTATATCATCTTTTCAATAGTATATATATACTTAATGTATAATATTATTGACATAAAATAAATTATACTTACCTTAATATATAATTAATTATTAATATAATTTTCTAATTTTTATTAATGGTAATTATTCTAATAATTTTCTTTCCTTCTTTCGTGTAATTATTATAGTAATTTTATGTTAATGTGTTTAAATATTGGAAGAGAACAAATATTAGAATTAATATAATTAATGAAATTATTATGGTAATTGCCACAATATTTTATAATTATAATTAATGTAATTATTCAAACTGAGAAATATAAGATTTCTTCACATGAAATATTTGTGAAAATTTCATTAAATTATAATTAATAAAATATAAAATATAATTAAAGAAATGAAAGTATAAAATTAACAAAACATGAATATTTATAATTTTTTTAAAAATATACAATTATAAATCTATCAATATAAATTATAATTAATGAAATTATATAATAGAATATATATATATATATATATATATATATATATATATATATATTAATAAATATTATGTGTATATACAATGTATTATACAATCAAATAAGAAAATGCGTTCGGTTAGAGTTTAAATTTATTCATACAAAATTTAGAATTTACATTTTTTATTGATTTCTAAGTACAATTCTCTTAGTTAGTATTCATATTTTTAGAATTATAATATATATGAAATACAATTAAGAATAAATCAACTTAATTATGTGAATCTTTTCAATAAATTTTAATAGTAAAGACATATTTTAAACAATAGTAAAGGTAAACTAAAAATGGAAAGGAAACATTCCAATAAAAATATTCTACATCATCAATTAAAAATGGTTCGAATAAGTATAAACATCACTGCATCTGATATTCTAATTGACTAATTGACTGAAAATAAAACAGAATAATTGCCTGAAAATGAATCTGATAATACTAATTTAATATGAAATTATAAAACGAAATGAATATTAATAATTGACTACAAATAAAAAATGATCCATAATTGAAATGGAAAAATAAATTGACAGATCATTGCATTTTAATTAAAAAATGGAACGGAAATAAAAAATTGGACGAAAATATTTCAATAATAATATTCTACATCATCAATAGTAAATGCATATTTTAAACAATAGTAAATGTAAATTAAAAATAGAACGAAAATATTTCAATAAAAATATTCTACATCATCAATTAAAAATGGAACAGAAATTAGGTAAAAATATCAATGCATCTAATATTCTAATGGACTAATTGACTAAAAATAAAAAAGAATAATTGGCTGAAAATGAATCTGATATTACTAATTGACTGAAAATATAAAAAGATCAGACTGAAATTCTACCATTATATATTTTCACCCGAGTCACCCATCCTTTTGGACTAAAGGTGTTAGCTATAGACGAAGATGGACAAGATTGTGTTGTTACTA